GGGAGGATTTTGGAGGAATGTAAATATTTAATGCCTAAATTATAAATTTAAGTTTAAATTATAAATTCAAATTATTCTATTAAATATTTCAATGATTATTCTATTGAATATATTTCAAAGATCTTTTTTAAAATTTATCCATAATCTTCTAAAATTTTTAATATCATTGGAAACAAGATCGTCTACTTTATGTTCTGTGATTGCAGGAAGGTATATACGTATTTTTATATATATAATTCCGTCTAGTTCAGTAAGTCAAAAAGTAATATATAATAATATTATTATTTTGACTCATATTCTGAATCTTCTGTTATCAATAAAAGAGTCTCTAAAAATGGCTCACAGCCAATTAGAGGGCTAATAAGCCACTTTTAGAGGTATTTTTATCGATAAAAGAGGATTCAGAACATGAGTCTTTATAATGAATATTTATTTGAATGAAATATTTATAATAATAAATAATAAATTTAATATACGTTATAAACTAATTATATCTATATTTACGATTGACAATATTTTTATATTCTTCAATTATCTCCAAATTCACCGGATCCACTTAATAGTTACGAAAATTTTCCCACGGCCAATCGTCTTTAATAATAATCTTCTTGGTGTTTTCGTTAATCCTTTTTAATATATACGCATAATATATTACATCAACATATAATACTGGACGGAACATACGACAAAATTTTTTTAATCTTTCTTCGTTTTGACAGAACTAGAAAGAGAGAAGTAAATATATAAACACGAATTTCTCTGTCTACTATTTTCTTATTGGTTGAATGTAGTCTGGCAAGAAGGGGAACAGTAGCGTATTTGTACAAATTCGTACAACAACATTCTTAATACAATTGCAAGTTTTAAGTGTGTAACGCTATGTAGAAATGTCATAAAGTTGAAATTATTTTATATATATGTAATAAATAATTATGATTTCTACTGTTTATTGCGCAAAACAAGTAAGTTGAATGCTATATGTCGATGTACCCTACAATAGACTTGATCTCCCACCAGATGCAAAGCAACACCTTCTTGGCATAGATGTTGTTTCACAGCAGATGTCGATGATCGGTTGGAATCCATCCACGATTTTTTATGTTTCAGCTATTATTTTCATATTTCCGGATAAAATTTTTCCTTTTTGTTAATATTAAAAGAATATAAGTAGTATATAATAGTATATTTTATTATTATTTCACAGAGAAATATTTTCCAAAAATAAATCGTTGAGAATTTTCTATTTTTAGGTATGATTCTTGAATAATAAACTGAATCTTTTTTGGACAAAGAGACCCATATACATATATATATATAT